TGCCGGAGAGGGTGCCCCCGCAGTATCCCTGGTAAGTAACGACCCAGGCCGCTCGTGACCGACTCGCACCCCATTTCTGTCGTACGGTGGTAAAGAGCTCTTAAGCAGCTAAGCTGCAGTAAACCTAGTCGAGGCAACAAAGGGCAAAAATCGCTACACGCCATGCCCATCCTTTTCTCGCGACGGCACCGGTCCTACCCAATAAAGACAGTGAAATCACTCAGGGACTGGTGCCCCCTGTGTAAATCATATATAGAGCACTAGCATGAGCATTGGCTATTCTTCCTGGGGTCCTCACCCACACAAAACATACATAATACAAACCAGAACAGAAAAACTCATCATTTCATGAAAAGTGCATGGTAAGGAAGTGAAAGCAAAAACAAAACAGAAAAAAATAGTCATCACATTTTAGCCATCATCAAGTCAAAACCTAAACAAAATTTTACCAACAATATAATTTACATGATAATACTAATTACTAATTACTAATTGACCCACAAGTACAGTTCAAATTTAATTTGTAGTTCTCAGATATTGTTTTAGCAAATGTTTGAAATGTATGTTTGAGTTGTCTTGAATGATATGGACCGGTAACGAATTCCAGCTGACCATTGCTCTGTATAGTACTGTTTTCTGTCTGATATTTGATCTTGATTTGGGTAAAATGAACCTTTTTTCTATTGCATGTCTGGTTTGATAGTTATGTGTAGAGTACTGTGCTATGAACTTTTGTGACAATATATGTGGTAAGTGTGTCACTGTAATATTCTTTACAAAATTTAACAGAGAATAAATGGACCTCTGTCTAACACTCATCCATTTCAGTGTCTCCAGCATTTCAGTCACTCTGGTTCTGTAGGAGCACTGCAGAACACATCGTGCTGCCTTATTCTGTGCTACTTGTAGTTTATTTAAATCGTTTTCTGAAGCACTAGACCAAACAACAAAACAGTAATCAAGCTGTGATAGCACCAAAGCATCTAAGACTTGTCTCCTGACATCTATTGGCAAATATTTTACAATTCTTTTAACGAGTGACACACCCCTTCCCATTTTACACACAACATTATCAATTTGTTTAGACCAAGACAGTGTTTGATCCAGAGTTATCCCTAACAACTTAGTTTCCTTGACTTGTTTAATGTCTCTAGAAGACTTGCTAATAAAGACTGATATATGTCAGATTCCTCTTACCCTTTTTTATTGTATGTTTGGTGTCTTTTTTTGGAACATAATTTCACTCATTTTTGTGCAGAGGGATTGCTGAGGGAGGGAAAGAAAGGAAAGAAACAAAAGTGATTTAAATTTTAAGAGGCACTTATTACATGATATTATCATATGTCTATTTTTAGCATCATATCAACAGATTTTTTTTTAAAGTATCACGTTGTCCCTCTGCAAACGTGTGTCAGGCTCACTAACGCTACCAGCAGATACGTGTGAGAGGCTCTGGTAGGTGGAACACTTCTTAACATTTGGACAGAACCGGTAATGCAGCACTCTTATCACCTCCAACCTACGTTATGCTAAGCTTATCCTCCACTGTCATGAGTGGCATCAATTGTTCCATCCAGCCTTCGGCAACAAAAACAATGTAGCACATGTGAGCTAATGTTGTATATTATTGCAAAAATATTCTGTATTTACATCCTAAACCAGCAAACAATGATGTGATTATGTTTAAACATCTAGTTCTTCTGTAAGAAATTCCCTTGATCAAGACTAACTTTCACTCAATGTGTGTCTTCTGCATTTGTCTGCTAAAGTTGTAAATTGATTTACAATTTAAATTCACAATAAAAAAAGAGTACAGCTGCTGTTTTCTAAATGATTTGAACAGCCATCTAACTCAGCATGCTCCAGTCAACAATGTATATTAATAGTTGAATCTTTTTCCTCTCTGTTCTGATAATACCCACTGCAGAATAATTCAGCGTTACTGAGCAGAGCCGCCTCATCAGCACTCTGCTGGCGCCCCTGGCACACTTCATGCAAGTGTAATGTTCATAATGGAAATTATTCATCTTTTCACATGAGTCCTTATAGTCTGCATTCTCCCCCTCATGTGCTGTGATTCACTTGTTCCAGATGAACACTTCACTGCATGGATTCAGTGTCCTTGCAGTGAAGTGTAAGACAGTGTTACAAGATGACAAGCATAAACTACATTTTTACAGAGGCTACCTTTTTAGTTTTTATTTAATAATTTTTTATATGGTGTAGCAAACATAGATATCCTCTAAAGCAGGTTAATCTTCTGTATAAAACACACCTTTTTTAAATATGCATTCAACAAAAGTTACTTGACATGCTAAAGAGTCAGCTTTAGGGGTGCTGCTGGTTTTGCTTATGCCAAGCTAAAGGTCTCCTGTTGCAGCTTAATATTTACTGTAAGGACATGAGAAAGTAATCCATTTTGCAAGATAATAGGCATTTTCCTGCAAATGTCCGACCAACATCCACAAAGTACCAAGTCCATTTTAAATGCTAGCTTGAAAGAGAAATACACTTTAAACACATTAAATGTCCCCTATTATACTGTTTTACATCAATATATTATAGTTCTCAGATATATACAAACATGTCTTTGAATTGTTTGGCTCTAAATACCAAACAGATCATTGCAGCATCCCATAATCCCCTCTGTTTCAGCCTTGTTTCTAAAATGCTGATTCTCTGTCTGATACTTTAGATGAAAATAAGGAGCCACTCCCAACGCCCCTTTGAGAGATATTTGGTTAAAAAGAACACAATGGTGCTCTAGGAGGAGATTCGGGTGATAAGGGGGAGGTTACCTTGGTTGGTTATTGGCTAATGGTTGCACAAGCCAAAAAAACGTTATGACATCATTAAGTGGCCAAAATCTGATCATCTCATTTTCAGACAGGTTTTTATATAAATGGATCAGGACAAAGAGTGAGTGAATCTTTTCTCCTGAAACTTTCAGAATTTCTTTACACAGAGGGGACACATGTTGATGTGGAAAAGACATGAAAAAGTGGATTTTTCATAATAGGTCACCTTTAATGTTCACATGATTGCCATGCTTAAGATGAACATGTGTCCGTCATCATAACTGCCAGCAGTTATGAAAAAAGTCAAGCTTTGTTGTGTTTTTGTTGCATCTATTTGAGAATTGAGATATTGAATTAATAAATAAATATATCAACTCAGCATTTGCAATCAAAGAAAAAAACTACAAAAATCTTCAGCCAAAGGAAATGGCTGTGGTGGGTCTGGAGAAGGAGCTCTGTGCTGCCAGCAAGTCCAAAAGATTAGCTGGAGTTCCGGCTGATGAATAATTAAGTGTATGTGTTTGTTGAATGTGACATAAACCAGTTTTGCAGTCCTTTTTCACCATGCCACTCAACAAACCGCTTGTTTCAACACGCAAAAGTATTTGTCTCAGCATCTCAAATGTCACTGACACTTAATAGAGAATTTTGTTTCACATTCGTTTTGACTCTGCACAGCTCTCACACTATCTGGGCTGGCATAATGGTGTTGTAAACAAACCGCATTCATGAAGCACTTTTCTTCCTTATTGAACAATAGTTTGCATTGTCACCCGGCAACAAAAACATTTGCACATTGATGGTGAAAACTTAGGGTTCAGTCTTGTGATCATAAAACTACAAACGACGTGTTTAATGGACAACCTGTTATTTCTCCTGAGCCACATGCAACCCAGGGTTTATTGATGTTGTGTTTGGTTTTGTGGGTTTAACCTATTTTTTCCTTCATTTTGACTTGGGGGTTACGCTTTACGATATTATTTATGTCTTTGAATGTACATTGAGCCAACTTTCAATGAAATGTTGTTTGCAAACTACTTCACTATGTTTTTAATCTTTTCAAAACTACATTTGTATCATTATCCTGACAAATGTGCAAACACATCAAGTATTCTGGCTGCAGGGCTTTCTCTTATTGTCTTTTTTCTTTTGTGTGTGCGTTTCAGAAGCAGCTGTTTGGTATTGAAGCCCCTGCTTCTTCGGAACTGACTGGTTTGAGGAAATACTTTAATAGCTACACTCTGCAGGGTCGCAGAAATGTACGTAATACACACAAATACACAGCACAGGCTGCATTCAATATGAACTTTTTAAAGTTTTTGCATATCAAGTCCCTCAATCAGAAATGTGTCCTCCTCTCTCTTGCAGTATGTCTTGGCTACTTATGGCGTCTTTGCTCTAACAGCAGCTGCCTACTGGATGCACCGACAACACAAAAAAGAAAACCAGGCGCCCAGCTCCACGGCCTGAACATCAAACATTGTTTTCACTAATGATTAATTATAATATGAAGAAACCGAAGGGAACGATGTGACACTACCTCTGAGTGTGAGGAAGTTTTAAGCTTTGTTAATAAAAAGCTTTGTGAATGGTCAGCACTGATTGATCGTTATTCAGAGATATAATGAGAAGTCAAGCTAGTAACCCTGGCATCTCTCTCTCTCTCTCTCTGTGTGTGTGTGTGTGTGTGTGTGTGTGTGTGTGTGTGGTAGGTAAAGTGTCCATCTGCTGCTGAAGAAGCTAAACTAACAGTTATTTATATACAATGTTTTATTCACCTAGTTTAAACTAAGAATTACTCCGATGACTCCGAAATCATTCATTTTGGAGACTAAACAATACCTACTTTTATTGGTCTTTTTGGTAACCAACATAATTAATTACTAGATCAAATATTATCATTAGAAAGTTATATGCTGGAAAAACCTTTACACTCAATTAATGCATTTAAATATTTAAACCAAGTGTTTAGATATATAAATAAGTGGCTTATAAACTGCATGTAATGTCGGCTTGTTTTGGTTGGGCTCAACTGTCATTGACGCTTTCCTTTTGACCTCCTTTCTAGAAAAGTAGATTAGAATGCGAGTAATTAGAAATAGCCTATGCCAACTTTCATATTCACTTTGAGTGTTCAGATTGCAAATTCTGTCAATTTCTTATTCATTTCATTATACATTTTTGTGAATTTATCAGACATCGAATGTATAGGCTAATATTGCATATGTTATAAATTACATTTTAACACAGACACACACACACAAACGCACACACACACACACACAAGAGGCCTACTGACAATCACGTGATTTAAAAGAAATCCAAAAGCGAAAGCACCAGCACCTGAGTGCGTGCGTGTGCCCGTGAACGTGCCTATCCATGTGTTCGGCTTTTGTGCGGGCGCGTGTCAATGAAACCGTCATTGTGGAGCATGTAACAACCAGTAACAACAAGTAGTTAAGTGTGTTAAAGTCTAACGGATGACCATCCTGCGGTTTTAGAGAGCAGCCCCGCCCCCCACATTTCAAACCGAAAGTAAAACTGTTTCTCCACAAAGAGCTGCGACCTCCCGGCAGGGACATGCCGATTGAAGCTCACTGCTGCCCGGACTCCACACGGCTCTGACGCTCAGTCACTGCAGGAAGGTAAGCTTTGTGCTCCATTCATGCATATTGAATTTAAATTTCCTGTGTGCCATTAATGACAAATGATAGTCCATTCATCGCAACTCATCAAAACTATAATCCCGAAACAGACTCATTCATCTGAATTGAAGGCTCTTTCCTACTGTATACAACTATAACTGAGATTTTAGTGGTTGATATAAAGGGGCAAATTAACCAGTTTACATTTCCGTTAGTTATGGAAAGCTAGACATCCTCTCCCATTGTAATTTACATCTCGTCACCTCATTAAAATGTCATAAGGTGGAAACACAACATTATTTTTTAGTTTCTTTTTTGCACTTTTTTGTGTCCACTATTTGTTCTGAACTCTAGAAGCTCTTGCATTAGTATTGACTTTGGACACACTATTTCACATTGTGCTTTTGGTGCAGCTCACTGGATCTTAAGTGAAACAATGACTATGAAGCTGGAGTGCTGACAGACAGCTTTAACTTCGGGGAGTTAAAGGTCCCATGTCATGGCCATTTCTACTGATCATAATTCCATTGCTGAGGTATACTAAAATAGATTTATATTGTGCAATTTTCCAAACTCACATTGGTTTCTCATACAGCATCTCTGTATAGTGTGTGTATTCACTCTGTCCTAAACGGCTTGTTGGAGCTCCTGCCCCCCCTCCCTATGAGCCCATAGTGGCCGTCTGCGAGACAGCGAGACACAGCGAAACCCAGCCCGAAACCAGCCCGAGCAAACACACACACACCCGCAGCCTGGCTGGGAGTTTGTGTATGTTGTTTAATGTATTTTAAAGCCCTATAAACTAAGTTATAGTAATATAGGAATATTAAACTGTATTTAACTGCCGTTCCCCTAAATAAAAGTAAAGTGCTTTAAAACATAAAAGCAATATATTACAAGAGCATTTTTTCAGAAAACTGAAAAAGAGACAACACAAATTTGTATTTTACATGTATTTTTTTGCTTTTAATAACAAGCCACGAAGTAAAATTATTTTGTGTTGTATTAACTTGTTTAGTGATATGGAGAAATACACTTTTTTTTTCGTTGTTGAAAGTGAAAGCATATTCTCTGTCCCAGTGATTGATGATAATCAGGTTTGTGGTCTATCACGTAACCTGATTCTGCACACAGACACAGAGGAATGCAAGTTTTGCAATAGTATGCAGTTAATGATAATGTTATAGTAACACTATCTAACGTTAAAGGGGTTGCTCTGAGTCATGATCCAAGAGAACATTTTAACCAGACTCTCCAGCTTTACGCAGCTTTGTAGTGAGTTTCAGCTCAGGACCACAACTTCTCTCTCACCACTTTTGTAGTATCATTTCCGATTGCAACAAACAGCTGTTTTATATCTCTTAAACTTACTCTACACTGCTTGCAACACAATGCACTGCAACGTAGTTTATGATTCATATTATTTAGGCTGTAACAAGCAAGACTCCAAATAAACGATCGTTTGGCTCTGTTACTGCTGGACGTGTAAATATGCAGCTGCTTCCTGATAAGTTTATCATATCTTTTTAAAGCTTGTGTCACCCCAGTGTGGCAGTGGGAGTTGTTAAAATGGGAAGGAGCAAAGTGAAGGAACAGCAGCTATCTGGAGTAGATGCTTAGAAAAAAATAAGCATTCAGACAAAGATTACAGTTTTTAAAAAGTTGCATGGGAAGATTAAACTGCCAAGAAATATATATATTAAATAATCCTCATTGTGTGAACTTATCTGGCCAGGGCTTGCATGTAACAGACATTCATTTACAGTGGGGAAAAAAAGTATTTAGTCAGCCACCAATTGTGCAAGTTCTCCCACTTAAAAAGATGAGAGGCCTGTAATTTTCATCCTAGGTATACCTCAACTATGAGAGACAAAATGAGAAAAAAAAAATCAGAAAATCACATCGTCTGATTTTTAAAGAATTGATTTGCAAATTATGGTGGAAAATAAGTATTTGGTCAATAACAAAAGTTCATCTCAATACTTTGTTATATACCCTTTGTTGGCAATGACAGAGGTCAAACGTTTTCTGTAAGTCTTCACAAGGTTTTCACACGGTATTTTGGCCCATTCCTCCATGCAGATCTCCTCTAGAGCAGTGATGTTTTGGGGCTGTCGCTGGGCAACACAGACTTTCAACTCCCTCCAAAGATTTTCTATGGGGTCTGGAGACTGGCTAGGCCACTCCAGGACCTTGAAATGCTTCTTACGAAGCCACTCCTTCGTTGCCCGGGCGGTGTGTTTGGGATCATTGTCATGCTGAAAGACCCAGCTACGTTTCATCTTCAATGCCCTTGCTGATGGAAGGAGGTTGTCACTCAAAATCTCACGATACATGGCCCCATTCATTCTTTCCTTTACACGGATCACTCGTCCTGGTCCCTTTGCAGAAAAACAGCCCCAAAGCATGATGTTTCCACCCCCATGTTTCACAGTAGGTATGGTGTTCTTTGGATGGAACTCAGCATTTTTTCTCCTACAAACACGTCTAGTTGAGTTTTTACCAAAAAGTTCTATTTTGGTTTCATTTGACCATATGACATTCTCCCTCTTCTGGATCATCTAAATGCTCTCTAGCAAACTTCAGATGGGCCTGGACATGTGCTGGCTTAAGCAGGGGGACACGTCTGGCACTGCAGGATTTGAGTCCCTGGCGGCGTAGTGTGTTACTGATGGTAGCCTTTGTTACTTTGGTCCAAGCTCTCTGCAAGTCATTGACTAGGTCCCCCCGTGTGGTTCTGGGATTTTTGCTCACCGTTCTTGTGATCATTTTGACCCCACGGGGTGAGATCTTGCGTGGAGCCCCAGATCGAGGGAGATTATCAGTGGTCTTGTATGTCTTCCATTTTCTAATAATTGCTCCCACAGTTGATTTCTTCACACCAAGCTGCTTACCTATTGCAGATTCAGTCTTCCCAGCCTGGTGCAGGTCTACCATTTTGTTTCCGGTGTCCTTTGACAGCTCTTTGGTCTTGGCCATAGTGGAGTTTGGAGTGTGACTGTTTGAGGTTGTGGACAGGTGTCTTTTATACTGATAACGAGTTCAAACAGGTGCCATTAATACAGTTAGCAAGTGGAGGACAGAGGAGGCTCTTAAAGAAGAAGTTACAGGTCTGTGAGAGCCAGAA